AGAGAGAGAGAGAGAGAGAGAGAGAGAGGCAGGGTCATTAACCAGTAATGTAGACAGCAGACATGTAACACTCGACTATACATATATATATATACATTTATTTATTTATTCTACGAAAAAGATTGCAGTTTTTTACAGTTTTGTCGACGGCTCGTCGAAGCACGCGTTTACGAACTCGCAGCTAGCGATCGCCGGGACCCCTGAATGACTCACCGCTCGATCGACGGGACCCCTGAATGACTCACCGCTCGATCGACGGGACCCCTGAATGACTCACCGCTCGATCGCCGCCGGTTGGTGCGGCGGTGTGCTGATGATGCTGCGTCTCCAGCGGCATGTTGATGGGCAGAGACTGCGCCACCTGGTAGGAGCTCTGCGACGGGCGACCTCCGTACATGTTGACGGCAGCGGACGAGTGGTCGTGCTCCGTCACACTCGACGAGTTCGAAGAGTCTGTGAGAGAGAGGGAATTTAATGAAAATTAAATTAATTGAAATTCTGTTACATGTTACGAAGACGAACCAGGTTAAGGCGAGAATTTCTATTATTTAAATAATTCCGTGTGTTACATAACAGGTAACAAAACTTGTGCCTACCATAGTTTAATCAAATTTTAAATCAAACTTTAACTATTACAACAATGTGCAATCTAACATTGTTCATCACTTCTTTCTCAGATAACTTTACCCGTGTCGATGACTAATGCACTAGAATCGGCTAGTGTTTATTGTTCGAGATCTTTTTTACCAGACCGAGAGTTAACGAGCGGGTTCTCTGTGTGTTTGCTCTCTATGTTTATTCTCTGTCTCGGTATTTGAACTGGCGCACGTGCTAACCGTCACGCAAGTTATTATCGACTTAAATACGATGACACAGGTTTTCGCAAAACATGCGCCCGTGTGCGCGCGCATCTGTTCGTGCGCACGTCCCCGAATGCCTACGTCATGGGCTGGCCCCATCGCCGTTTTGTTTCCTCTCCCTTCTCCCCTCATCCAGGATGTCTATACTCACCGTCGGTTGTTTCCGGAGTTTCAAGGTCATCTTCGGATTCGTAGAAAGCTCGATGGTCCAGCACCATGTCCTCCTCAAGTCCTTCAAGGTCAAAGATGCCTGCAGAGAGACGGACGACGCGTGACGTACGCGTACTGACGCGGAAGATGCCCGAAGCATCTGTGACGTTAAACTCGAACGCACACACGCGCACGCGGTGGCGGCAGGTCTACTATAGGATCCTTGTTCATATATATTAACAGTTATTGACAATGTCACCACTCTAACCCTAATCTTAACGTCGGTATCTATAACCCCAACCACAATCATAACTCCAGCGTTATAGGCTGAGTGGGCCCTAAGTGAGCCTCGGTCTACTCTAGGATTTCCGTACATACATCGACGTTGTCATCATCACCCTAACCCAAATCCTAACGTCCATATCACTAACCCTAACCACAATCATAACCCCAGCATTACAGACTGAGTGGGCCCCATGTATCACTCACTTAATGTGTCACAATCATAACCCTAGCATTACAGACCGAAGGAGGGGTCCTACGCTTCACTCCAACAGCCAGAACAACTCGAAGGATTGACAACACGATGGCATCGAACAGCCGAGGACGTCCGGAAATCGAAAAAATATCGGAAAAATCGAGCGGAGCGCCACCTACCGTCGGCGGTGTCGAAGAGCGCTCGCCCGATTGGCTGTGGAGCCGCATTGCCTCCTCCTCCCTGCTTCGCGTGCTCGCTGTTCTGTTTGCCAACCTCGCCCTAGAAACGTAAGAATAACAGTCGATGAGAGAGCCTACAGTGAGTACCCCCCCGGTGGGAAGCGCGAGAGCGTACGAGAGAAACCGGTCGCCGGTGTTGTGACAGCCGGGCCGCGTTGAGGAGACGGATGAGCGCGCGACGTGCAACGGCTCCCCTCAGTGCTTAGTCTATGCTTTAGTTACGCACTCTTGTTATGAACAAGGGGGAAATAACAACGCATAGCGACTCTATGATTATTCTATGCTAAGCTTAGCTACGTTTTCGTGTCATGAACAGCGTGGAACAACAACGTATAGTGGTGGCCTTCATATTATTCAACGCTAAGCTTAGCTTTCTTGTTATGAACAGGGGGCACTAGCAAAGTCTAGTGCACACCCTCCTGCTTGTGCGCTGCTTCTGATTTCTCGTCACATTCGAACCAGACGTCCGCGCCCCGTCTTAACCGATACGCGGCGCTATTAGACGTCAGGACGCTAGCACGGACTCCTTTAGCATACTAATCCTTTTGCATGACGTCATAATCCAACGGCTCCACATCGAAACACGACTGCCTGTTATGGTCAGGTTACGTTGCACGGCATTTCATGCATCGTGCGCAAACTATTAAACCTCGCGGGGGGCCTGGTCGTTATGATGCGTCAGAGCGCGAGCACAACTTCCGTAACCACGGCGACGGAAGCCAAGGCCACACACGTACCCGTCGGTCGATGTTGTCCTGCTGCAGCTGTGGCGCCCTCTGCATTGTGATCGGGCGTTCGGCGGTGATCCCTGCATCAAGCCTCTTCAGCGCATCTGTAACGACAATAATAACGACGGCTTGCAATCTCAAGCTTTACATGGGCTCTCTCTCTATCTCTATCTCTCTCTCTCTCTCTCTCTCTCTCGTCGCTTACGAGTGCAATTAGTGCTATAGGTAAATGCTTCTTCTCCCCGCGCGGTGGGTTTTCTGTGAGCGCGTGACAGCTATCACGCGCCAGTGACCTTGGTTTTCGATGCTGGGCTCGCGAGCGGTTGCAGTCTGGCTCACTCTCATCTCTTCGCTTGCAGGATCCTGAGGTCTCTGGATGAAGCGAAAGCCGACGCGGCTCCCAAAAGTAACATGGGCGATCGTTCGCCGACCGACACAGTACGTACAGCATGACTGCGGTAACGCGAGAGCGCGGTGGAGGGTGGTGACGGTAGTGAGGAGGGAGAGAGAGAGAGAGAGAGAGAGAGAGAGAAGAAGAGAGAGAGTGAGAGAGAGAGAGAGAGAGAGAAGAGTGAGAGAGAGGAGAGAGAGAGAGAGAGAGAGAAGAGAGAGAGGAGGAGCGAAGGGGAAGAAAGGAAAAGGAGAGAGAGAGAGAGAAGAAGAAGAGAGAGAGAGAGAGAGAGAAGCGAGAGCGAGACGCGAGAGGCAGAGGGAGAAGGAGCAGGGAGCGGGAGCGGGAGCGGGATGCGGGAGCGGGAGCGAGAGAGCGATGAGCGAGAGCGAGAGCCGAGAGCGAGAGAAGAGAAGATAGAGAGAGAGCCCATGTAAAAGCTTGAGATTGCAAGCCGTCGCTTATTATGGTCGTTACAGATGCGCTGGAAGATAGGCTTGATGGCAGGGTATCACCGCCGAAA